TTGCGTTGAAGAAGTAAGGGTGGTAGTTTTATTAGATCTGTTTCGGACCATTTATCAAGTTTCTCTGTCGTTTCCCTAGATTCGACTTCGGGCCACGCAAACACTATAGCCGGAACGCCGTCAGATTACTAGATAAAATTGTTCGACAAATAAAATGGAATATATTGTATATTTAAAAAAAAATAAATATCTATATACACAACTACATAGTTTAAATAGGAATAATGGGGTACAGATAAAATCTTAAAATTGGCTATAGCCATAACAATAATATAATAAAAGAAATAAAGTTTAAAATAACGTTATGCGAACTTCCATTATTATAATATTCCAATAAAACAATATCACATCAAGCAGTGAAAGGATAATGTAACGGAGAAAAAAATGTATAGTTATTTGCATACAGTCACCCTGAATAATAATTTTCTGAAATATACAAATCGAACCAAAAGGAAAAGGATTCATTTTTATCAACGAATAATGACATTTTATTGACAAATTTAAAGTTTTATCATTGATCGGAAACTGAAACCTTTTTGAGATTAAGCTGTGGATCATTGTATCATTGTATAAAATGTGTTATTTTTGAGTTGAAATATTATGTTACGTAACTATCGATTTATAGTACATAATAATTATTAGACACTAAATACACCAGTAAATTATAAACTAAATATACGATGTATATATTTTAGCCTATATGTATATTTAAATCGTTTGCTATATGTTTAATAATATAACAAAAGCAAGTGTTTATGTGAATGCCTTTACATGCGTGTAATATACAGCCAAATCTATGGGACACAGAGATTTGAAACGTTGAACGTAGGCTGGCAGATGTCCGATAAGACCTCAAAACAGGATTTTTAAATTTCAATTTATGTATGGGTACTCAATGCTCAAGTTGCTCATGCTACAGTCAAGCAATAGTTTTATTTACAGGTATGTTTATGTAATCATTTTTTTTTGTTTAATATCGTTTTCAATCGTTTTCATTCATACCATCTATGGTGTAGATTATCGACACCACTATTCTTCAAGATCTCGATACGGCAAATATATAATTGTATTGTTTTTTTTATATTTGTATTTTAAATTTAAACGCGAAAATAATATTGCACGCAGACAAAAACAAAAACATTGTATTCCACTATTATTATATAAATTATGTAAACTATTTTAATTTTAAAATGAGATTATATAATAATACATCATCGTAATTACTACTGATATTAACAATTTGGTGATCCTTTTACGGATATTATGAAATAATTTATCAATAACCATACATCAATTATAATACGATTAAGAATTTTTAATACTTTTATATTTTTATATCTACAATGTTATAGCTAAGGTTGACAATTACGATCGATTTCTCAATGTGCTCAATGAGTTGTGATACATTGGTTTAAAAGAGAAGCTAGTACAGTGCTAGTGAATTTGTTAATCCAGGTGATAATATTATTGTACAACTATAGATAAGAGTCGGAATTTAATTCTTCGAATTTCTAATTTTATTGCCTTTGTAAACTCTATTGTTATTAAATTTGTATTTTCTGTCTATTATCAACAAATTATAATATATTTTTTACTAAACATATTAATTTCGATAAATTCATTTGATTTTCACAAGATTTCCTCTTGTATATGTATTAAAATAATTTTTATGTATTTTTTCAATATAACATGCTCAGTTTGTGTGGATAACACATTGATTAGCACACGATTCCATAATATTACATTTTGTTCTAAAAGGAGTTTGCTCACAAACAAATATTTTTTTTCCTCAAGTTATATTCGTACGAAAATTAAAACAACGTGGGATGTTGCGTGCTGATTAAATTAAATTAGTTACAATAACATTAACTAGGTACTATACTATTGTTTACGTTAGTAAAAATATAATTGAATTTATTTAATTAATTTTAATTAAAAGAATAATTAATTTTAATTAACAGAATTATCATAATAATAATAATAATAATAATAATAATAATAATAATAATAATAATAAATAAATTATATTTTTACCGACATTATTCGATTCACAAAATTATTTTAACGATCTAAACTGATATAGCTAGATAGTTTATAGTTAGATAGTTATAGACAAATTTTAGCCAGGTAAAAATTACTAACAAGTAGACACCTACATTTTCTTTGTTCGTTTTTATAAGATAACTATTTGTATAATATATTTAAATAAACATATAGTTCAGTGAATTTAGTTACTGAACAGTCGTAGGTACTTAGCTATTTATATTTACCGAAAACCTGCTAAACTTCAGTTAGGTAAGTAATACTTTGGGCTCCTTAATTTGAAATCCGATTCATCGTCAACATCGCATAACATAAAACATATTATTATTGTACACTGTGGTGCAACCAGGATTAATTTTCGGAGGGAATAGGGTATAAATTTCAAACAAATTTATCGGCAGATATTTGAGATTATAAATTACTAAATAGCCGAAGCGCATGATGTACAATTATTCAAAATCATCTACAAGGAAATATGTGTAATAATTGCAAACGAAATGTATGAAATTACTGAATGTTTTATGTGGAATTCAGAATTCGTAAAAAATCTAAAATTTTGAGGGAAAAGAGAGGGTTATAAGTAAGGTTAAATTATGTTATAACCTCTTCTTTTCCTGGTTACACCACTGATTTTATAAAATCGTACATAGGTAGTAGAAATAAGTTTTTTAGGTATATAATTGTACAGAGTCGTGATTCTACGGCCACATTCTAAATCGACTAATTTGCTTCTATATACGGTGCTGTTAGGGAGAGGAAAAAACTTTGTTCACAGTTTATTGATCTACTCGCGAATATTAGCCCTGTTATACAAATAAAAAAAAAAAAACACGCAATTACAATGGTCTTCTATACTAATTTTTGAACTAGGGGTCATTTTCAGCCAAAGTCATGTCTTATTGATAAAAATCATATTTTATGAATTAAATAATAGATAGTGTTATAAAGGTTAGAACCGTAATCGAAATCGATATACAAATTGAAAAGAATATTAAAATAGTAATTATTCTATATACATTTTAAATTTAACGTAATTTAAATTTACATCAAGGTAAACCATAAATAAATAATCAAATTTATTGGATTTTAAAATTTTAAAACCAATAATCGAGTGTCGCACACTCTTTAATGGTCCAATTCCAGAATAAAAAATAGCCTAAATTATGTCCCAAGAAATAATGCGTCTCGTTTTGAAAGTCCCATCGAAATTGATTTCTTGAAGATAAACTAGAATAGAGAAACAGATACTTCAGTTTTATTTGTATGTACACGTATAAAATATGACATTATAAATTAACGGAAAATAGTGGTTGGACAACCGCTATCACGCTTTGTTTAACCAAGTCACGACTCATGAAAAGTATACGGTTTCTATAAACGTGTACCGTTTAGAACGCTTGACCATCGTTAATTTGCCGTAAACCACAATTGATTAATGCTCGTACTATGTTGTGCGATCTGCTCAAGAACTTAGTGTTGTTAGGTGATTACTGATTATATAACCATTCAATTATAATCACTAAAGTCATTTACCAAAAACTATCGATACTTAAAGTGTTATAAAATAAATGATAGAAGGTTGGCAATAACGTATTCGCCTTAAGAGGATGTAATTCTGCGTGTGCTGTCTCTGTCTTACACACGTACGATCTAGGCAATTTGAGTTTAACATGGAAAACTTTGTGTTGTTAGTTTTAATAATAGAGTAAATTGATCTATTAATTAATTATTATCAAAGTTCAAAATTAATGATAAAATAAGATTTGTGCAACTAGGTTGGCTATTTTTTTTTTTTTTGATCCTTTATTTTTTATCGAGATATCATTATCGAATAAGGAATATCAAATCGTATTTTTTTTTAAAAGCTAATTTGGAAATAATTCATTTTTTGAAAAACGATGACGATAAGGTTGTTATTGAAATAAAACCAACAATGCATTTTTATAATATACGTCTTATCTCTGAAACCGATTTCAAGGGATTTTTTAGTTTGTTTTGCGTGAACGAATCGGTACGCACACACAGAAACTGCGTGCTGTCGAATAATTTCGTGCGTAGGCTCATTAAATATCGTTTTAGGTTTCTAACTATAAGTTTAGAACACCTTATATTCCGTCTGTCCATATAGTGACTAGTGCATGGTTACGGTTGTTAATTTGGTTGATAAAAGGATGTTTATTATTTTTGTAATATTATTACTATCACAAGCGAAAAACATTATTATTGTTTATCATAATTATATTTAGATTTTTACACGCAAGTATAACACGTCATTATGTTACCAAATTCTTTAGAAATCGTACCTATACGGATTTATAGTTTTTTTTTTGTTTAAAATACGTTCAGTAACCGGGGACTTGGCGCGTTCGTGAGTTTTCCTAACTTGTTTTGCGATATTGTTGTTATTAATATTTCCGCGGGTACATGTAACAAATGACCGTGAAGTTCGGAGTTGGGGGCGAGTTATGAATACGCACGTATAATATTATAGTATACAATATTATTATTGGTCGTGTGGATGTGTGCAAATACAGAGCGTATATTGTACACACGTACGTTTATACAATAGGGGCTCGGATTACGTCGTTTAGCATGCCCCCTTTTATGTTAGAATTTTTAATTGAAAGAGCATTGACGACTGTTTTCTCTCTCTCTCCTCGAAGCCCCCTCCCCCCTCCGTAGTTCAGCACCTCGTGAAACATCATATATATATATATACACTGTACACATATTATTATAGGTACACCACCCACACGCACACACACCACGTTTTCTAAACGCGAAAACATAAAGGGAGCGGGTCTCCTCTGCCGCCGTCCACGCATGATCCCTTCGACACAATGGTCGCGCGCGCCGTGTGCCGGCAACAGCCGTCGCGCGCTCGTAATAGAAGGACCGTCGCAGTTGGACCGACCGCGCGCGGGTTAGTAACGTTTCGGTATCGCTACCGCGCGCAACCCGACGCCGCCGAAAGCGTCGACGTCATTGTACGCCGAGGACGACCAGCCCTCGCAGACGACGTGACGTTCGTACTCGTTAATCGTAATAGTCGTTGTTCGTGATAACACGACGTTATACATTCTGTGGAATACACTTAATTATAAAACTTGATGACAGTATAACAAAAAAAAAAAAAAAAAAAAAAAAACATTAGTTTCTTATTATCGTCCGTTTTTATTCTCCGATTCTATAATATTATAATACAAACCTATTATAATATTATCGCTATCGTCCCGTTTAAAAGGACGCGTTACTTATAAATTTTTTTTTTTTTTTTGCCGATTTTTTATCATCGTATTTCGCACCGTTTGAAAAACGTCGCGTTACACGTATTTTCCGTATTCGTTATAATATTATATAGGCACGTTTCTGACTCGCTTGTACATGTGCGTTTGTGCGCGCTTTTACGATGGATTCGAATAGACCGCCGATCCGGAAATCTCCGTTTTCCGTGTAAGTTTAGTTTTGATAACGCAATTTGCGTATGGCACGCGTAATAATGATGATAATAATAATAATAATATATTGGTTAATAAATTATAGTTATTCTAGCCGTGCACGGTTTTTCTATGTGATATCTTTGGTCCCTACAGGGAAGAAGGGTTTAAGTCAATTTTGTATAGTTTTCAATAAACAATCGAATTGAATTTTTAAAATTGCAAAATGACGTAATTTTATAACACTTTATTCATATACATGTCAAACATAAAGCGCATATGAAATATTGACTTAAAATATTTTAATTTTCAGTATAGTACGTATTCGAATATATTTACATTTATGTCATTTAAACCAAAAAATTAAAGAGAACAAAATTAAAAATATAAAAAAAAAAAAAAAAAATGTGAAATATTGATTTTCGCACTTATTGAAGAAGTCTTCTTTTCTGGGACCAAAGATGTTTATGTTTTACTCGTTCATAATAAAATGACATTTAAAAACATTTTATGTACCAAGGGATTAGGCACATTATCTACCTTATGTAAGCAGGTTAGATTATAATAATATTGGAATTTAAATTTCTACAGCAGCTGAAATAAAGATATCAATATTCTTCAAAATTAATCTGTAGTCCAAAAACGATTTAATAATTTATTGGTTACAATTAAAGATTAAAAAAAAAAAAAAAATCAAAATTTTACATATTTATATAAAACAAAATTAAATACAACGTTGTACGAAATTATTCTACCACCAAATGTAATGATTTATTCTTATATTTTGATCGTTACGAGGAATTTATTGGTTTTACTATGATGTGTATTTTTTAAATTTTTTTTCGTTGTGAGCAACTTTTCTACCAGAAATCTTGCTCCAAAAAAATGACAAGAGAAATTTTTTTGTTTGACCTTTATGGATTCGTTTTTTGATTTTCCAAGTAATTTTTTTTTTTAATAATTGGACAAAACCAGGAAAAAAACGTAGAAATAACCTAAAAGTTTACGGAAATAACAATGGTTTCATTATTTTCCATTTCGTTTTTTTTTTTTTTGTAATTCAGTTAAAAATATTCGTAGAAACTTTTAATTTTAATGGAACACTTATATTATCATTTCTAGCTGACGAGGTAAAATTTTCAGTATATTTTGAAAAAAATGTTTGAGCAAATAGGCATTTTATTTTTTTTAGTTCTTTTTACGTATTTTATTCTTGGTAGGATGTGTATAAAATTATTTGACCAAATAGAAATGCTTACAAATTTAACATGAGATTCATTATAAGTTTTACTTATTGGTAAAAGAAATAAAGTTGAGCGTAATGTAGTAGTTTTAGATGAAAATCTTAAATATTACAGCATTTCTAAACATGTATAACCGAAATTCGCTCAGAATCGTATTTCATTAGCAATAGTTTATTGTTGCTTTCAAATATAAATAAAATAAATATGTGTATCCTACTTTCCCAACTTTCCATCTACAAGATTAGTGCACCTATCATCAGTATTAATATATTTTTAAATTTTTTTTTTATCAAAAATAATTCAAGTATTATCATCTCAGTTTAGTAACCTAATGTTCTGGAAATATTGTTATTTAAGGGAATTTTAATTTCGAACAAATAAGGATCTTAACTTAGATGCGTACAAATATATGAGGTAATCATCAACAGTTTTTTATTTGACTATTATTATTATTACTATGCATATAACTAATCATAATTGTGCTAATAATGAATTTTATAAATTAAAATTTGATTAGAATTTCAACAATTGAATTATTATACTACTGAATTAGTTTTTCATTTATTTTCATTAGTCATAGTGTATAAACAATAATAATACCTAACAAATTTCTTTTGAAGCAACCATAAAAGCAATACTTTATTAATGTAACATACAAAATTATTATAAAAAAGCTAACAATAAATGAAAAGTTGACCTAACTATAACAATCGTTACAGCAATTTGTGTACCCTGTGTTTATCTCAATTTCTTTCGAAATTTGTTAGATTTTGTGTTTCATTATATAACCGACTTACATACTAAAAATATATTAAAAAACTTTTGGTAATAAAAGCAAAACAAGACTGAAACGAATATAATATTTTGCGGTAGAAGTATTTAGGTACTAACTTTAAATTTAATTTAAAACTAAATAGTACTCTAGATCTGTAAACAGTAATTTGATTTAAATTTGTATTTAGAGGAGTAATATTAAATAATAAATAATAAGATAATAATTGATCGATTGATCTACATATGATTATTGTTTGTTTATTTGTTTTATGATTCCAATAGAACCCTATGTATCAATTTAATATAATTTTAAATTTAATTTTAGATTCTGAATGGAGTGAACAGCATATTGGTTTACAATGATATTTATTTTTCTTTTATCTGTGAACAAATTTTCTACCAGAAATATTGATTCAATTTTCAAGTGTAGCACTTTTTCTGATAGAAAATTTGACTGGGGAGGTATTTTTAGGAGGTCCTTTTTTATTTTCTTAGGAGTTTTCTTAATACATTAGAAAAACCTGAAAAGAACAGAAGAAAAACGATAAAATAGGTACAATATTAAACAAATATTATTAAAGAAGATGTTTAATGTAATTATTTTACCATAATATGACATATATATTGTTGACAAAGCAACACTATATCAACTGAACTCCGCTAAAAAATCATATTTTTGTTAGAAATGGTTTATGGTTACTTATAATTATAAATTAAATTTCCCCTCTATTAACTTCCCAACTTTTCATCTGCAACAGTGGCTCACCCATATGTGCAGTATTTCCGTCTTTATTTTTCTTTAATTCTCCGTATATATGTGGATTTCACTGATAGTGTAACTTATAAAATATTAACTATATTTTCAATACACTTTTTTGAAACATTTATTTGGAATAATTGTTTTGTTGTCTATATAAAACTAGCAGTAAATATTTTCATTAACAGTTGTAGGTACTAGGTAATTATATTATGTTTTATGTATAATAATATATTTTATTTTTTGGTTTTATTATACTATCATTTATCAATTTCATACATTTTTGAATGGTAAAATAGGTATTTCTATAGATAACCCATTTTATTTAGATTTGCAAAAAATATGAATATTACTTAAAACGGATTTTTGTAAATAACAAGAAACATTATTTTATTTAAAATGATTTACCAAAAGAAATATCTGGCTTTATTAATAAGCTAATAGTCAACATATGGTCAAAATGTACCTATAGGTTACCTATACTATTATAAATCAATATATATATTTTTAAATTTAAATAAAACAATTAAGTAAATTAAATTAGTAAAAATTCTAAAACTACTTTTTCATTATTAATTTAAATAGTATACTATTTTAAATAAGTTACACATATATTGTTTTTATTAAATATTACGCAGAAAAAGCTTAAGAAATGCACGAGAAATGTGTAATGCTTGAGAATTCCATAAGAAATCCCCAGGAAGAAAACGGTCGTTTAAAGGAAAAATTAAAGGTTCTTAAACAGATTATTAGTGAAAAACTGTTTGTATTAAATAGTTTAAAATACCAGAATTTGGATAAATGTGAAAAATTGATATATGCAAATGTAAATTTAAATGACTGCAAACATGTGTTAAATTCAAACCATGATAAATTTGTTAAACGGGCAGAAGAAATATTTAAGCAATTTAAAATGATAAGTGAATATCAACAGACACAAATTAAATATACTTTAACTAAGTACACTAATTCTAAACTAGAAACTATTTTACAAAATAACAAAATGCAATCAAGTATACTATTAAGAAAAATAGAACGGTCAAATACAAAATTGCAGTTTCTAAGATTTATTCTGAAGAATAAAAATTATGAACAGCTTATTCTAAACGATAAACCTTCAGAAACAGATGAAATAAAAAGTCGAAACAAAGAATTTCAGAGAAAATTAGAAATTAATAATCAGCAAATTATGACAATTAAAACTAAAAACAATAAACTAATAGAAAATGTAAGTGATTTGTGTTCAAAAATTGATATGACAACAAAAATGTTAAATGAAAAACAAAATTTATTTATTGGGGAAATTTGTAAAGTTGAAATTGAAAAATCAAATTTAGAAGCAATTTTGAATACAAAAAAACAGACAGTTAAGCAATTAGATGTGGAATTATCGAATATCATGAAAATGATAACTAAGGAAAAAGACAATTTTTATGAATTGAACAAATCTATTAATCAGTTACAATTGGATCAACATATTCAAATTTGTACAACCAATGAAATGCTTAAAAATAGCATAGATAATACAAATGTTTCTATAGCATTGAACAAATTTTGTGCGGAGGTGTTATAATCACCTCAAGTCAGTTTCCTGACTCTAAATCAAAACAGTGTTCTATTCTTTGGTTTGTCCACCCGAAGCAGTAGGCTAACAAAAATTGAGTGCTTATCCCGGCAATCATCCGGCCCTCAGAGCTTCATTAGTTTAAACAGGGGGCACTACGAAAAGGTGAGATTAACATTTATATGGAGAGGCTATAATTATATATTGTATTATATTATATTATAATTATACATGTATATTACCCCTTAGTAATCTAATAAATAATTAATTCTATTAATATGTTTAGTGTAATACAAAATTGCAATATTTTGTCAGAAAATATTTTTAAAAATGTATGTTTGCAATTCCATTGATGAATTATCCAACAGATCATGACATTTGAATTGCTATAAACCAAAGGTGTA